AATTGCAGTTTTGAGGGGTCAAAAATATGTTAAAAATATGTGTAAAAAAGTTCATGGCTTACTAGATATTTCGAAAAAAAAACAAATTTCGTCTATTTTATTATTATTACTAGCGTGTACCAGCGACTTCGTTCGCGTCGAATTAATCATTTGTAATGGTGATGATAGAGCAAAGCAAGAATTTCCATTAACATACAAACTGGATAAAATTTTCTCACATTTATGTCAGCATGAGAAAAAACAATATGGCGATATTATTATATAACTTGGTAATATTTGAGAGGTAGTTTCATCTCGTTAGAATTTGACTTTCGAAAAATCCGTTTGCCAAAAATAAGCTTTTTACATCAAGCAGTTTAAACAAAATCGTGGTTAAGAAATTACCCAACTTTTTGTGAGCACCCTATATGATTTTTTAAAAAATTTCAAAATATGTAAAAAACCAAATAAATTATGCTTGTCCAAGCGTTTTCCCGAAAGACTAACCGTTTTTTTAAATAACAAATATTGTTATATTTGAGGGGCGTTTTCACCCTCTTGGAATTTGAGATTCGAGAAACCCTTCCTTATCGAACCTCTACACCCCACAGTCAATCCGTTTGCCAAAAATCAGCTTTAAACGTCAAGCAGTTTAAGCAGAATCGTGATTACTATATAGATAGCAGAATAGTAGATAATGGTCATATTTTATGAAACACCCTGTATAAATTTATAAAAAATCTTAAAATATGTAAAGCGACAAAATAAAATATACGTGTTTAAGAGTTTTTCCGAAAAACTCAACGGTTTTTAAATAAAAAATATTTTAATATTTGAGGGATAGTTTCACCCCCTTAGAATTCGAGTTTCGAAAAATCCCTTCTTATCGAACCTCTACACCCTAAAGTCAATCTGTTTTCCAAAAATCAGCTTTTTACGTCAAGCGCTTTAAGCAGGATCGTTATTAATCAACGACCAGATTTTTCGAAACACCCTGTATACATTTTTAAAAAATCTTAAAATATGTAAAAAAACAAAATAAAATATACGTGTTTAAACGTGTTTTCGGAAACTTGACCGTTTTTCAAATAAAAACCCTCTTGGAACTGGAATTTCGAAAAATCCCCTCTTATCGAACCTCTACACTCTAGAATCAACCTGTATGCCAAAATTGAGCTTCTTACGTTGAGTGGTTTTAGCAGGATCGTGATTAATCAGTATGTCAGTCACTTAAGGATTTTATATATTAGTATAGATTTTATTATTTATTTAATTATTATAATTTATGAGTTATAAAACACAGAATATTTTATTAAACAGTTCTTTACAATTTACATTATATAAACTTATACTTAAAAAATAATATCACTACATACAGTTTAAGTTATTTTAGAAAATATTTAAAAAATATAGTACAGCCTCTGGTACCGCATAAAAAAAGTCTAAAGTTGATAGGTCAGGTGATCGAGGAGGCCTATGTCATTGGTCCACCTCTTCCTATATCCTTGACTTTTAATAATTATGATATAAATAATTTTTAACATTTTTTTTTTCATTATGAGGGGGGGGGGAAGTGTCATGATGAAAGTCATATTGGAACCACACTATTGAGGCGCGAGTCTCTAAATTTAACTTTTCTAACATGTCTTGAAAACCGTTCTCTAAAAAGCGTATGTAACGTATCCTCAAGAATGTATGGCGACGAAAAGTTGAACTACTAATCCTACACGCTTTTCTTCATTTGAGAACTTCATATTTATAATTTTTGGTTATTTTAATTTAAGTTTATATATTATTAAGTTTGGATGTGACAGTTTGGCATTTCTGAGAGCAACGAATTATAAGAATTTACTATAACTCAGTAATTTTTTGAAAAAAAAACATATTATAGTTTATATCACTAAAAATCTTAAAAAATGGCGCTTTTCATCATGGCCAACTATAAGTTTCCATTTAAAAAAACATAAGTTTGTGTCATATGTCAAAAATGACAGACTTTAGAAATTAAAATAGAATACAATCTCATTAAGGATGTGATTATCTACTTATTATTATTATATAAATTATATTATTTAACTTTTATTTGAAAACTTTTTGTCTAAAATAGATTATAATGGAATTAGGGACCATTTTTAAAATAGCCAAAATTTGTTTTTTTCGAAATATCTAGAAAGCCATGAACTTTTTCAAAAATCTGGATGGCGCATATTTATGACCCCACAAAACTGCAATTCTTTCCCCATTTAATCGACTCTCTATCTCCAGTAGTTTCCGAGATACCCATAGAGAACATCGTAGAACACTCACCCTGTATTTTTAATTAAATGACAAAAAACAGGGCCTTTGTGCAACGAACGTCCAAATTTTGAATTGAGTTAACCATGTCATGTGGGATATCTTATGAAAGGGCTTAAGCAAGCTTCAAAATTTAAGAATTTTAAAAACCACAATTTTGTATTTAAAGTAATTATAGATTTTGGAAACCGAATTTCGGGAAAACCTCGGAAAAAAATGCGAGCTTTGGATTTCTGAATTATTTATAGTGATGGGATAACTCGAGCGAAAATTCGCTCGTGTACTCGATTATTGAAATAACCGACATCGCTCGATTATGAACGAGCGATGCAAGTGACGAATACCAAGCGACGAACGCAAGCGATCCAAGAATGAAATAAATTGAAATTCGATTTTAATAATATGACCTACTCGATAAAAATCCGATCGAATTTTCTACATACATTGCAGGTAGCAAATTTATACGACGCCGTATATACCGGGTGCGTCTCAAAAGTGGCTCACCACTATTACTTTTTTATTTTTTTTTAGATAAAAAAATGAGATTTGGTATGTTAGTATATGACGTAAATTAGAATTGATTGACGTATTCAATTGTTTTCTGTCACTTCCTGTTTCACCGGAAATGACTACAATTTTTTATTTTTAAATGGCACCCTCGGTATTTTTTTTTACTTTATTCGATAGAAAATGATATTCTAAATAGAATGACGTATCATATGTCAACTTTTGACATATTAGCTTAAAAACAAATTGTATTTTAAATTTCAATCTAGAGTGCCATGTTATAGGCTGTGTTAAAAACACTAATTTTTAATCAAGGAGCCTTGGGAAAATAGATTTGATCGTCTAATATTTTTAGTGTCTTGCCCTGTCCGGTTAAAAGATGCCCAAATCGTATTTTTGATCATCTCAATTTTTTTCAAATGGAACGAGGGTGGATCATTAACATACTTCGAAAAAGATTTTTTTTACCAATAATTTGATACCACACACTTGGTACTTTGAGTCAAATTGTCGTTATGAACCGCATGTTACAATTTCAAATAAACCATATGCTAAAATGTCAAAAGTTGACATGTGATATGTCATTCTATTCAGAGTGTCATTTTCTACCGAATAAAGTAAAAAAATACCGAGGGTGCGGATTAAAAATAAAAAGTTGCAGTCATTTCCGGTGAAACCGGAAGTGACCGAAAACAATTGAATATGTCAATCAATCTTAATTTATGTCATATACTAACATACCAAATCTCGTTGTTTTATCTGAAAAAATAAAAAGTTATTGGGGTGATCCACTTTTGAGACGCACCCGGTATATTTATCCGTTGCGTATCTGAGAGACAAAATTTTACGACCTACATCGACAATGCTTCGAAATAAACTAAATCAGGCGATCAAGCGAATCGCTCGCCGCTTACTACTTGTCGTTCATTACCGAAAGAATAGGTGCCCTGCGCACGCAGCTTACTGCTTGGCGCTTGGCGTTAACGAGTACTTACAACATGCGACGGACAAAAAACCAAATATTTGAGAGTGTTTTGTCCGAACTGGCACTTCTCAGGATTAAGCTTCAGGTTTGCGTTTTTCAAACGCCGAAAAACTTCTTCTAGGTGCGTCTGGTGTTGTTCAAACGTCTCACCTAGTACAATGATGTCGTCCAAGTAGGCGAAGCAATAAGGATCTAGTTCAGGTCCTATGATTCGATCCATCAATCTCTGGAAGGTGGCAGGCGCTGAATGTAACCCAAATGGCATCACTTTGAACTGAAACAACCCTCTAGTGGGTATGGTAAATGCAGTTATGGGCCTACTCTCTCGAGTTAGCGGTACCTGCCAATATCCTTGCTTGAGGTCGATGCCGGATATCTACTTGGCTTTGCGAAGTTTGTCCAAAATCGCATTTATGAACGGCAATGGGTAAGCGTCCTTTCGAGTCACGGCGTTAACCTTCTGGAAATCCACGCAGAAACGGTAACTACCGCCTTTCTTCTTGACCATGACGATAGGTGAGCTCCACGTACTATCAGATGGCTCAATAATTCCATCTTCAAGCATTTTAGCTACTTCGGTATCAACGATGGCCTGCATCTTCGGATTTTGTGGTCGATGTCTCTGTTTAATCGGGTCATTGTTGATCAGGCGAATTTCATATTTTACCAGTGGTGTTGTACCGCGAATATTCTCAAAACCAGGTAGATGCTATCCCAGGAAAACCTGGAGTTTGTTCTGCTCGTCCTACGTCAAATCTGGAATCTCCCGGTTCGCTGAAATGGGACACAGTGTCGTGTTGACATCTTCAGTCACTCTTCGCCCATTTAAGCTTACTTGACGGGTCTGTAAATCCAAATTAAATTGGTATCGTTGAAGAATAGCCATTCCAATCACCACTTCGGGTACAAGACTATCCAGAATATGGAACACTTCGTTCAAGGACTAGTTTCCTATCTGAAACTTTTTATTTTTTTTATAATTTTTTTAAATACGAGCGATATTTCGCTCGAGTGATCACTCGGTTATTGCAATCGCTTGATACTCGAGTACTCGATTATTGAAATTAATCGGTTTTTCCCATCACTAATTATTTATAATATGGATAACTTCGGATAGTTTGTCTACATTTGCGTGAATGGAAAATAAGGAAACAAAAAATCCACTCTAGGCTTAATACAATTATTTTACCAGTTGCAATTAACTAATTATCTATAACGCTTGTGTTTGTTTCAGATTACTAGTAATTCGCCAATTACGAACAACAATTCCGAACAATCACTTAGGTAAGTCAATAGTATTTCTATTAGTTTGTATACATGTTTAATAGAATGTGCAAATTATAAATATTGTCATAATCTTCAATTGTAGAAGAGAAGTGTTTAAGGCAAAAATTTTTATGTAAATACTTTTTGAGATTGGCATTCCTTGGAATATTTCCAATCAAGATAAAATTGTGATTAAAGTTTTTAAAATACGTTTAAAGTAATTAACGGGACAACAAGTAGTTATTTTTTATACAAGACGATAAAATCGTATTTTATCGTCGACCGAAAAGATTAATTTCGGGAGACGATAATGCAATTTTATCGTCGTGTAAAACAATATTTTTTTCCATAGCGAGTTACGTTTTAAAAAATATTCAGAAATTATTATTTCAATGAATTTATTACGAGTAGAAAAAATATTGGGCTGGATTGGCGTTAGTTTCTATGTAGTTTGACAAATAAATAAAACTGTCTCTTTAGTTGTCAGTTTTGAGTCAATATTTTTTAATTCTCTTTTATGTCGATTTCTGATTGAATTGGAGCCAGAAATGGCTCAAAACGAAATAAGTAAATTACCAACAGATATTCAGGCTGAGGCGACAAACGCCATATGCAAACTACTTCCATTTAAATCGCCGAAAAGAAATACAAAAATTTTCAAAAATGGAAGCAATTTTGGAAATGGAAACAAAGTTTTTAACCTATCCTCGCTGTTAAAGTATCATTTAATCTACCCTTGTGGTTCAAGTACTATTTTATCTACTATTTTTGATAAATATATGGCAATTTTAACAGTTGCTATGGAAAAAATAAAATTGTATCGTTTTTTTTTTCTAAATCATTAAAGCATCCTCCTGTTAACAAGCCTTTCTAAAACAACTCAGATTTCTTTGTTTTAATATAATTTTAACGATCTTAACAAGAAATATGTATGTTATTAACATATTTTACATATTGTTTTTTTTTATAAGAACGTGGGTTGATAAAAAAGAGAACATTTTTTAATATATTTTCGAAAATAGCTAAATATTTGGATATACAAGAGAACATATTTTCTGAATTATTAATTAAATAGCCTAAAAGAAGAATGCGTGAAGAGGCGTTAAAAGAACATATTTATCCAAATTTACATATCAACTACTGGTAATCGATATACAGGATATGTAGGATATCATCTACGTTATAAGCTTCCTCGAAAATTAGTGCTGTCCAGGTACTTTCTTTAAATTCTAAAGAACGTCTTAAAATAATTTTGATTTTGTTATTTATATACCGCGTTCTATGAATTGCTAGTCTTTAAGTCCCATCTCCACATAATGTTTTACCGATCAGTTGTGTACATCTTAAATACATTATAATAACTATTTTGAACTTTGAAAAACTGTAAAGAGAAAATAGTTCTTTTATCGAGATATCGAAATTTACCAGCCCTGAAAATATTTGCACTTATTTAAGACTCTCCAAAAATAACCTGTATGGGTATTTCGCCACTGCAAGAAAATCTACAAAATATAATAGATATTTTTTGTAAACACTGCTGCGTTAATCCAACGGAAACTACTTGTCAGCAGCTAAGTTTACAGATAAACAAAAAAATGCTTAACGTTTCGGAAAGTTTATCTCTTTCCGTCGTCGGAAGCAAACAAAAATACAAAGAATAAAGAAAAAAACGATTTAAAATATTTAAAATTCAACTATTCGAGAACACTTTGGGTTTTTTAAAACAGGTCTACAAAACAAAAACCGTTGACGTTCTGTTAAAATGGCATTATATCAAGTTAAACTTCAAAATGAACAATTATTACCATTATTTTATTATTATTATTAAAAAAAGCCTTATTTTTCTTTTAGAGGCTATCGCTTCTTTCATTACAACGCCAGAATTACAATGAAAGGAGCTACCTCTAAAAGAAAAATAAAAGAGGTTTTTTTAATACAATCTAATAAAAATAAATGTATTGCTCATGTATCTTTAGATGTTAATAATGTATGGCAATCGCTTCTTTGATTTTAAAGAACATATCATAAATAAACATAACATACGTAAAAATTAAAAAAAATCATGCAGAAAGTTTGAGGTTTTTTGGTTTTACCTTATTAAATAATTGTTATCAGGTAATAATTTTTAATTTTGAAGTTTAACTTGATATAATGTCATTTTAACAGAACGTCAACGGTTTTTGTTTTGTAGACGTACCTGTTTTAAAAAAAACAAAGTGTTTTATAATAGTTGAATTTTAAATATTTTAAATCGTTTTTTTTTCTTTATTCTTTGTATTTTTGTTTGCTTCCGACGACGGAAAGAGATAAACTTTCCGAAACGTTAAGCACTTTTTTGTTCGTTAGGCAAATTTGTTTATCTGTACACTTAACTGCTGACAAGTAGTTTCCGTTGGATTAACGCAGCAGTATTTATAAAAAATAACTATTTCATTTTGTAGATTTTCTTGCAGTGGCGAAATACCCATACAAGATTTTTTTGGAGAGATGAATCCACCACATACATAGGTATAGATATTTTTTTTATTTAAGACTCACCCTGTATAGTCCGTTCAGTCAAAACGTACCCAATAAAACGCAGTGTTATTATTTTGTATTATCCATTATGTTAGTGTCGTGAGCTAATGTATCATTAAAATGGTATGGAATGTTCTCAGGAAATTCCTCTTGCACTTTTATATTGACTAATATGTATGAAAAACACGAAATTTTGATTATGGAAGGAAAAAGAACAAATAAATATCAGTTAGGACAGATCTGTATGGCTATAAATATAATCATACAGATATTACAAATCAAGCATAACGACATGGACCAACGTATAATATGCGATAAAAGGTCCAATCCCTTTTTTTAATTTAAAAAGCTCGTAAAGCAGAGCATTTACAGGGCTCCGAGGCTTCTATCGCAGCATCTATTATACGCAAAAACACATGTACATATATCGGTTCAGCTCCAGTAGGCCGTCGACACTATCTGTATGTTGAGTGTATTTTGATGGAGATGACTGCACGTGATCATGCAGAACAGATTCTCGTTCAGTAAATATTAACAAAACTATATTTTTTTACTTTTTTTTCATTAACAGTTTAAGTGCGAATAAATATCTTTAATGAGCAGAGTGTATAATTAGTAAAGACAAGTTTTGCACCAAAGTTTACTATTTAATATTTATATTAAACGATTGGAAGTAAATAAATTTTAGTTTGCATGATATTTCGAAATAATTAAATTGGGAATATCATGCAAACAAAAAACGTATTTACTTCCAATCTTTGAATAAAAAGATTATTCTTCTTCTTCTTCGTCGTCTCTTCATGTCTGAAGAATCGTGACATTATGGCTATGTGCAGCTGGTGATTTTGATCTTCCATCGTTGGCGATCTCCCGCCTCTCAGAGATTTGATTGAAATGGATGACCTGTAATATTTGCTATTAGGTCAAGCCATCTTGATGGTGATCGTCCTCTGGGTCTTCGGTCGTCTATTTTGCCTTGTACTATGAGTTTTCAAGGTTGTCTTCACATCTGCGAGTAATATAACCGAAGTATTGCAGGATGCGTCTACGGCAGATGGTGGATAATCGATCTGTGATGCCGAGTTCATTGCGAATTTACTCGTTCGTTCTGCTTCTATACGGTGTCTATCAGCGCTCTTGACGGTCCATGACTCAGACCCGTATAGGAATATGGAGAACACCAAAGATCGAACAAGGGTCTTTTACGTATTTTTAGATATGTTCTTATCTGCCCATATTTTACTTAGGCTCGCCATAACCGTCCGTGCCATTGCTATACGCCTTCTTATCTCTGCTTCACATCCCCCATTATTTGTTATTAAAAACCGATTAGATTAAGAAAAAGATTATAGTCTGTTTCAAAAAGCCTGATAGCACAGCGAGAAAAAAGTATTCAATTTTTCATTCATTATCATAGAATACGCTGAGCAAAATTGATTAGAAGTTTAGAAGATTTTCTTGCAGTGGCGAAATACCCATATAGGATTTTTTGGAGGGATGAATCCGCCAGATAGGTATACACATTTTTGTTCTCAATGTTGTGTTGAACCTTGAAGAAAATCCTAATAACCAGACGACCAGATCCCACAAATTGCAATAGAAAATAAAATTAGTTCATATTGAGTAATATGGACACAAAAAAAAATAAAAAATAAAATACATGAATAGGTTTTTAGCATATCCACATTTTCATCCGTATAAATTGCAGATTGTACCGGAATCAACTGAAGATGGCCGCGATAGGAGATTTGTGAGCAAATAATGCATTTACTTCACAATATTACCGTATATCCAAAGAACACACTTTTTTCTGACAATTCAACTTTTACGTTAAATGGTCAGGTAAGTCGACAGAAGTGTCGATATTGAACAAACAAAAGAAAACACTAAATGAGGAAGGACTATACTTAATATGGCCAGAGAAATTACTTCAAAGTTTGGGCAGGTACAATGGTGTTGTTACCAAACCAAATGTTAAGTCAAATATTCATCAATGATAATTAATCTAACTGATCAGACGTACTTTTAGTTTTTAGAAGGAGCTTATTCCAAATAATTTAAAGACTCACACTGTATATTACCAAATTTAAAGATGGCGTCTATTCTTCTCAAAGAGACCTGATTTAAGTTAAAAAAGAAGTAGAAAAAAGACTCAAAGTCTCGGTCTCAACGTTTATATAATGTTAAACAGTGACACGTGTTTCGCTCGTACGAGCATCATCAGACAAATACAATTAAAATTAATCCACACAGACGTTCACATTTTACATATTAAAACAACAACTTATATTATCGTTGATTGTAAGAATTGGAAGGATACGCAACCTAATGGGCGAATTCATGACAAGGCTGATTTGATTTCCCCTTGCGCGTCAAGTGATGTACGGTGGAGACACAATCGCTCTGCGGTCAACGCATAAATTCTCTAATTCGGCCAGCGAAGGCATATCGAAGATGGTGTAGATCTGAAAGCGACAGTCTTGTCATATTAAAATGTGTAA